TCTCCAGACAGATTTTGAATGAATTAAAAATGATGGTGTGATGGGTACAGGCCTGGGTCAAGTGCAGTTTCAGTGTTACCAGGGCGCTCAACTGTCTTTGTTCATGTTGTGTGTTTTTTTGTTTGTTTTGTTTTGTTTTTATCAAAATGTCAAATTCTTGCTCCCTACAAATACTGCTCTTACGGCATATTCTCTGAGTGACTGTGGCCCCATTGACAACTTCCTTGACATTTTAATTTAATATCTAACATTCCATTCCCTCCCTTTATCTCCTCCTGGCAAAATGAAATCGATCTCCTCAGAGAAGATCAGGTAATTTCCCACAATAGTAAATGAATAGGCAGAACTGTCAGGTGTTAAGATGCTTGTTTTCTGTCTTCCTCAAGAAAAGCGCACTCTCTTATAACACTCAGTTCTGGAGGTCAGAAATCTGAAATCAGTGTCATTAGGATTTAGCCAAGTGTCCTGTCTGCAGGACTGGTTCCTTCTGCAGGCTTCTGGGTGGAATCCCATTCTCTTGCCCTTTTCAGTTTTCCAGGCCACCTGCACTCCTTGCCACCTGGCCCCTTTCTCACATCACTTCAACTTCTTGTTTCCATGGTCACAGCTCTTACTACTGACTTTGACCCTCCTGCTTCCTTCTATGATGACCTTTGGGATTGCATTGGGCCCACTTAGATAATCCAGTCTCTCTATCTCAAAATCTTTAATTTTTTAAATTGATTTTTGAAAGAGAGAGAAACATCGATCAGTTACCTCCCCTATATACCTGGAAAGGGGATCGAACCTGCAACTTGGGTATGTGTCCTGATGGACCTTTGGGTGTATAGGACAGCGCTCCAACCAATTGAGCCACACTGGCCAGGGCTCAACACCTTTAATTTAATCACATCTTCAAAATCCTTTTTGCCTTATAAAGTAACAATCACAGGTTCTGGGTATTAGGATATAGACATATGGGAGGGAGGGCTTATTCAGTCTACCACGGATAGCAAGAAACAGAGTTCTAGTCAGGTTTTCTCAGTCAGTGGGGCTTGCTATATGGTTACAAGGAGAAGTAAGTGAGAAAATAGGAAATCAAGAAAACCAACTGGCATTTGAGATACAACACAGGTACCTGCTTATCTAAATGAATAGGCAGAACTGGTAAGTGCTTAAGTTACTTGTTTTCTGTCTTCCTCAGTTGTCGGCTTATCTTGCTGGCCTCTCAGCAGCGGGTACCTTTTGCTTGAGACTCTAGACTCCAACCTGCATCATGACTGTCTCTACTGCCTCTTTTTTTCTGACTGTTTGCCTCAATATCTCCAGCAGTCCAACTGAGTCAGCCAGACACCAACCTGCAGAAGGTGCTCCTTTTCTGACAAACTTGTATCAGGACATCTCATGGGCTGCTGTCTGGCCTACAGAGGATAGCTTTTGAATCAGGTGTCAATCCTTGGTCCAAACAGCTTTTGTTGAAACATGGGCCCAGATACACAAGGACCACAGACATTTTTTCTCTGAAAGGAGATGAGAGGTGGCAGGGGAATTCAGAAATTGTTAGACTTCTCTCCAAAAACAATGTCAGTGACCTCAGGGTTTGGGCAATCATGTTTTGCTTCCTGATTTTAAAAACTGGTATGTTTAACCCAGCCGGTGTGGCTCAGCAGTTGAGCACCAATCCATGAACCAAGAGGGTCAAGGCACATGCGCAGTTGCAGGCTCGATCCCCAGGAAGAAGCATGCAGGAGGCGGCCGATCAATGATGTTTCTCTTTCATTGATGTTTCTTTCTGTCTCTCTCCCTTTCTATATCTCTAAAAATCAATAAAAGCATTTTTTTAAAAAACCAAAACTGGTATGTTTATGGGTGCTTGTTCAAATGGGCTTTAGTTACCATTTACAAAGTGTTCTTTTTTTTTTTTTTACAGGGAGGAAGGGAGAAAGATAGAGAGTTAGAAACATCGATGAGAGAGAAACATCGATCAGCTGCCTCCTGCACATCTCCTACTGGGAATGTGTCCGCAACCCAGGTACATGCCCTTGACCGGAATCGAACCTGGGACCTTTCAGTCCATAGGCCGACGCTCTATCCACTGAGCCAAACCGGTTTCGGCTATAAAGTGTTCTTAAGATGTCCTAAGAAGATAAGGAACATGCAGGAGATGACCCAGCTATCGAGTGGCAGCCAAGATTTGAGCTCCAGCCTGTCCTACTGCAAGCCTGTACTCTCACTTACCATGTGCAGCGTATTTCAGACTGTAGTCATCTAGGTATCCCGACAACACTTGGAAATGGACTTGGGACTGTGCATTCCAAACATGTACAGTCAATGCTTGGTTGCAAGCAGCAGGAAACAACTCTGGTTACTGTAAACAGAAAGGAGATTATAAAGCTACCAAGAATTTGGAGAACCAAACAAAATTAAGATAGGGGCCTAAGGAGAAGAACACAAGATAATCATCTTTTAGCAAAAACAATCCAATTTGGGTTCCTCAGTCAGATCCTTCTAATATACAGGGATCCTAACTTTTCTTTTTCTTTTTTTAAAAATATATTTTAATTGATTTCAGAGAGGAAGGGAGAGGGAGAGATAGAAACATCAATGATGAGAGAGTCACTGATTGGCTGCCTCCTGCATGTCCCCTACTGGGGATTGAGCTTGCAACCCAGGCATGTGCCCTTGACGGGAATCGAACCTGGGACCCTTCAGCCAGCAGTCCAACGCTAACCACTGAGCAAACCTACTGGGACCAGGGATCCTAACTTTTCATTCACTTTTGCCTCATTTACTCACAATTTAAAGTCCCACACAAGAGCATCTGATTGGCCAGCCTAAGTCATTTGCCTTTGTCCTAATTAAGGACATTTGTCCTTGTCCCAAGAGGTTAGCCTCTAGATCTTCCTACTTCCCTAGTGGAAGGTGAGGCTTGCTTTGATTCACACAGTGGGAAGTTCCCCCCAATAGAGGGAAGGCTTAGAAGCTAAGCAGTCGCAAACTTGACAAACGTCCTCTACCATGGGTGAATTAATTCAGGCCTACTATAATGACTGAATCACAATTTATGTTATATGTTAGTCCCTTGCTGATATTAGAAAAACTCCAGAAATACATTTACAAGTCACCACAGTTTATACATATGATTTCATTTTATTTTGGTTTTTAGGCGGTGATATTTTCTTTTCATTTTTTTATTTAATTTATTGTGGTGACATTGGTTAATAAAATTATATAGGTTTCAGGTATGCAATTCTATAAAACATCATCTAAAACAGTGGTTCTCGACCTTCCTAATGCCGCGACCCTTTAATACAGTTGCTCATGTTGTGGTGACCCCCAACCATAAAATTATTTTCGTTGCCACTTCATAGCTGTAATTTTGCTATTGTTATGAATCGTAATGTAAATATCTGATATACGATATGTGTTTTCCGATGGTCTTATGCGATCCCTGTGAAAGGATCATTCGACCCCCAGAGGGGTTGTGACCCACAGGTTGAGAACCGCTGCTCTAGAAGGTGACATTTTCTAACTGACCTGGGGTCCTCCCGAATGGAGAGCCTACAGCCTCCTGCACTTGATTAAAAGAGCCCATTCATAAAACTGTCCAGGCTCCAAGCTGGAGAGAACCATCCCCACCTGAATGGGGACGTTCAAATCCAGCGGTAAAGATTTGCCTTTTGATTGTTGTTAGGTAAACTGTCATTATAACAGCACAGCACGGGCTCTTCCTGCCTCTTGGGCTTTCAGCGCACCTGGCCTTCCTGCTACTCACCTGCCAGAGCTGTGTTTACCTTCCGCCTAAATCGTGGGAAGGCCAAAACGGGCGATGTGAGGGCAGCGGGGCCAGCTGTGTCTGGGACAATGGTAGTTCCATGTTTTGTGTCCCATGGAGGCTGCAGTGGCTTGAGAGGTGGGGAGGGACAGGGGACTCATTGGCTACTGCAGGCCTCCCTAGTGAACCTAGAAGTAGAAGTAGGGGCTGACTAGCAGCCCATTTGATGAAAAGGACACGGCCCCATTCCCAAAGCCTGCTCCCAATATCCTCATCGGACTCTCTGTGTTTCTCTTTTCTTTCCTTTTTCTTTTTCTTTCCTTTCCTTTTCTTTTCTCTTTTCTTTCTTTCTTTCTTTCTTCCTTTTGTTCTTTCTTTCTTCCTTTTGTTCTTTCTTTCTTTCTAATAAAATGTTTTGAGGTCTCAGCAAAACTTGAAAACGGCTATAATAAGACACCTACATTACAGCTATCTCAGCTCTCTATGACACATATGAACAAGCTTAAAAAGACATTCAAGGTCAGAAGATACCAGACTTGGCAACACCCACCACCTTGGCTTAACCTGCCCTCGCAGTGGCTCCTCAGTGACAGGGGCCCTTTTCTGTAATCCTTGCCTGCAGTTTCTGAACACACTGTCATGGAACCTCTTTCTCAGAATCATGCCTATCTTAAAAATCATGTCTAAAAACAGCCTCTCCACCTGAGAGAGAGCCCTGACATTTGAGTGAGGACCCCAGTTCCAGAAAAATCTGTGAAAAAAAGTAGAGAGAGACCCCATCAAATAAATGCCCTCAGGTGCTTTAAGAACTATCCAAAGTGTTCCCTGCCCTCCTTTGAGGGCTGACATTAAAACAGAAACATATGGGCTGTGGCACCAGAGAATTTTCATGAGAATCATGACTGCTTATTACACACTAGAGGCCTGGTGCACAAATTTGTGCATGGGTGGGATCTGGCCCGGCCCAGCCCCATCAGGGCCTATTGGGCCAGGCCAGCTGGGGGAAGGGGCTGCAGGCAATTGGCCAGCTGGCCCAGCCCCTGATTGGGGTGGGAGGGGCTGACCAGGGGCAGGGCTGGCCAGGGGGAGGGGCTGCAGGTGGTTGGCTGGCCGGCCCCACTCCCTGGTCAAACTCCCGGTTGAGGGGACAATTTGCATATTAGCCTTTTATTATATAGGATAGAACTTCAGGTAAATTACTCCATATTTCTAAACCCCAGTTTCCTCATCAGCAAAGTGAAAGGTCATAATAATGCCTGACTCATAAAGGTGTGAGCATTGGAGGAATCATGGTTTCCTGGCACATTGTAGGTATTCACTCTGGATATGCCCAGTTCCTTGGGCTGCTCATTGCTACTGGAATGACTTCTACCAGGAAATCAAGGTGGCATGGCTATCAAACGGATTTGTTTGTCAGGTTATATCTGGTGCCCAAGCATAGGAAACTGGTCCACCATGTGTAGAACCTGGGAGACCTGGGACCACTTGCACCCTGTGTACTTGAATGTTTGTATGGCCAACAGCTCAGAAGGGAACTGTGCAAATCCATCTCACATCTTGCTGAGCCTACCACAGCTCTGT